CCCCCCCCAGGTTCAACAGCGGCCTGGTGTTCGGCGTGGTCGCCATGTTCGGCTCGGTTGTGCTTCTGGTCAGAACCCTCCAGCAGACGTACGCGCAGATGACCACCGACAACCCTCGGATAGGAGGTCAGCAGGCGCTCCAGGTGGTGGTACGTCGCTTTTTCCTGGAGCTTTCAGCAGGTAGAAGAGGCCAAACGGGGGGGTGGAGGGGTGGGAGATCGTGCGTCCCACCTTTGGGCTTCAACCTCACAAAAAAGAAAAGGAGCTGGGAGAATAATGAGGAGGGCTTTTTCCAGTTGGCTCGTTCATCGTGTTGTCAGATACCCGCAAATTAGTGCCCGTCCGGCTGCCAGCCGATCTCTGGAGGCTATTAGCACGCCATTTATAACCAGCTCCGCACGGCCAGGAGGAGAAGAGGCAGACGAGAGAAAATTACAGGTTTCAGCAGCCCTGAAGAGGGATGGGAGGGAGGGAGGGTTGTCACCATACTAAAATGTTCAACTGAATACTGATACTCAGGGAAATATTCGATACTCGATGCCATTTTCGATACAACAAGGATAAAAACAAACACCCCGAAATGTATCGGAATTTTGACAGGTTAGTGTCTTTCGTTTATAACTGACCAATTAATGATGTTATGATGGCCCACATTAATGACCCTAACCCTCCACCCTTCATAATTGTGATAAATAACAATTTTTTTAGTTAAAGTTGTTTGGAGTTATTGTACAAACCTATTTAACATCCACTATTTTAACATAATATTATGTATAGAGTGTAATTCAGTGTGTGCAAGATTAATTTCACTATTTTTAAATTAATGTCTATATTGCCATGAAGCAATTAGGATTTTCTTGCCTGGGATCTTCTTACTGGTGACCTAATCAAAATGGCCGACTTGGATGTGAGGGAGTTGGATATCCATCCATGGCTTCCTGCAGTATGATTAATGTTGGCGTGTTGTTATTAGCCGTTAGCCGCAGCTAGCAATTCAAGGCTAACGTCACGTTAATGATCATAAACAACGTAAATGAATAAATAAATAAATAAATCGGATAGAAGGGAAAATGAGTAACGTATCCGGATACAACGTTTTAGTATCTATACTTTTTGGAGTATGGATACTTTTGACAACCCTAGGGGGAGGGGTTTCATTTCCAGAGTGGGGATCCAGAAAAAGAGCCTGGAACCAGACGGTTTTTTGGCCCTCACTCTCCGTTTCTGTGTGTTTTCAGGTCCCCGGCGTGAACCTGCCCACCAGCCAGCTGGCCTACTTCTTCAGCGCCCTGCTGCTCAGCGGCATTTTGCACGAGCTGGGCCACGCCGTGGCGGCCCTCAGGTGACCCTCCAACCCTCTAACTCTGCTCAGGACGCGGGGCGTCTTCGTCTAGTTTTGACTCTCTAACCCTTTAACAAGTGACAATAAATGATTTTGGTTTGAAAATAGATCAAATGCATAAATCAATCAGTCAAAGAAATAAATAGGCTTAAGAATAAATGGAAAATGACACACTTCATTTTCCAGCCGTTTTTGTCTAAATGTGGTTTTCTGATCTGTGAATTGAGGCGCTCACACAGGAGCAACTCTGACACTTTAGAGATTCGAATCACAAAACCGGCTTTGCTTGTTTTTCCACATGCAAATGATTTGTAAATAAACTGATTTTTGCCTGGATGCCGCACACAAACGGGGCTCCAGACTGAGAAACAGGTCCAGAAGGAGTCCCTGCAGACAGAAAAAAGTCAAAGATGGAGCATTTCTTCCACTTGTGGGAAGAAAGACGTGATCCTCACAGATGTTTGAGGCTTCCAGGACCAGAGCGAGTCTCTGAAGTCTCATTTTTAGCTCCGATGTCTCAGGCCTAAGTGGTCCCACAGCTCCCTACGAGCTTTTGGCCACAGAATAGGTCTTTATATCTCTTTAAATGAGTGTGGGAACCACCTTGTTGTGTGATGGGGGGTCTCCCCAGAGTGGGGGAAGCCTTTCCTGGCCTCGTATTTCTGAAGATCCTGAATGAAAAACGGGGATCTGAAGGATCTGTAAATGCACAACGGTCTTGATAAAACGCTTTGGACTCTGCTTTGTACATTCGGATCTATATTTTTAAAGATTGTTCATTTGTACATTCGGATCTATATTTTTAAAGATTGTTCATTAGTACATTCGGATCTATATTTTTAAAGATTGTATTTTTCAGTTTTATCATTTCTGTCCTATATTTTTATTTTCTACATTTTATTTCTTGCTTCTCATAGAAGTGTTGTGTTGTGCACCAAACACCAAGGCAAATTCCTTGTAAGTCTAAAAACCTACTTGGCAATAAACCTTATTCTGATTCTGATTCTTCGGTGAAAAAACGTTAAAAAAAATCCCCCAAAATGTTCTCTAAGGTGGTAAATGTTCTGTCCCCTTGCAGGGAGCAGGTGAGGGTTAACGGCTTCGGGATGTTTGTGTTCGTGGTCTATCCCGGGGCCTTCGTGGACCTCTTCACCACACACCTGAACCTCATATCGCCCACCCAGCAGCTCCGCATCTTCTGCCGCGGTTAGCCCCCCCCACGCCCCCCTCCCCCCCCTCCCCTCCTCCCAGCGCCATGGTTACGGGCGGCCTGTTTCCACTGTGAAGGTCACTCTGTGGGATCCCCGTCTGAGCAATCAGGAACACTAGAGCTTAATTAATTGATTAATTGATGGGTTCAGGAGACTTTAAAGGTGTATTTGTGTGTCTGTGTGTCTGTGTGTGTGTGTGTGTGTGTGTGTGTTGGGGGGTGGGGGGCTGCTATATCTGCAGTGGGGGTAAAAAAAGCAGCTTATTCAATATGAGTTAGAAGTTTTTACTTTGTCAGATTGTTCTTAAAAGTGAAGCTTCTGCCAGTTATTGTCTGTTTGTGTGCGTGTGTGTGTGTGTGTGTGTGTGTGTGTGTGTTT